ACATGTTTTAATTAATTCAAAAAAATTACTTGATATTTGGTATATGGAAATTAAGAATGATTTAACTTGGAAAAATAAAAATGCAACTGTCCAGCTTGTTTTTTAAGAACTATATATGCAAACATGTTCTTTGTACGGTTATTCGTGTGACATATTGCAAACCACCACCATCAACAAAAACAATGTTGATCGATGAGAAAAGAAAAAGAGATAGACTACCAAATGTTAAACCTGCTTTGTTAGTACAATAATGAAATTTTTTAATTTTTTTAAACTTTTATTTAAGATTCTTTTGGATTTCTTCGTATTTTTTTCCGTGATTTAAATTTATTTTTCTTGCACTAAATTGATGTTTATACGAATAGAATTTATTTCTTCTGCTGTTAAGATCTATATTTTTACAGACTAAATTCGAATTTTTTTTACTGATACTTATATATAACTGACTGTTTCATTTACTTTACTGAATAAAAATTTTGTTCTCTTATATAAGTTTATTGGAATTATATCATTTCCATAAGAATTATGCAAAAGAGAAATAATTACACGTGAGTCTGCTTAACAAGTCTAGTTTATATAACTTTAGTCAGATATAAGAAAAAATGTACTTTTATAATTAGTCATAGTATGAATACAACGTTAATGATCTGCTATTGTTCAAGTTTTACATCTGACAAGGAATAAGAGTTGTCAAGTGTTTCCTTATAATCGTCTTGTTAAAAGTACTTTCCATCTATTATGTTAACAAACAGTAACTCTTAGTTGGTTATTTTCTCTTTGCACGGGACCTCGATTTTCGAAATTTTATAATGTGCATGTTTAGCATGAGGCTAAGCCCAAAGCTATCATGAAGCTCACATTGATATTAAAGATATTGTAGTGGAATAAGTTCCCGATTAGCAATCATTTCAAAATTTCTTAACCCATATACCTATTAGTGTATATGAAATAAGCAGGGTAGATAATGTTTATATAAACAAATTTTCAAAGAATTATTGTCTTTAGCGAAATGATTAAAAGGAAAATCTAATAATTCTCTTCCATAGCAAGATAGAGGTCAAACAATAATAGATCATTAGCGTTATATACAAACTCTAACGAGTACAAAAAAAAACTCATATTGTTCTGATATCTGCTCGACGCTACATAAACAAATCAAACTTATATGCTAGCGGACTCGAAAGACATACACATATATTGTTTCTTTTGTCAATAAATACTTGTCAAGCATTAAGAATATATAAATAAATGTAAACTATCTTCATAATATGCTGATCATTTTCTGGTGGAATCAATTAATGAAAAAAAAAACAATGCTTTTCCATTGTTTTCATATTCATAAGACTATCAATATGAAATTCTACGAATTCCTTATAATAAAAGACATACTTGACGTTGTCTTATGACAAATTAAATACTACTCTATTGTGTCACGCAAATATCATAATTGAGATAGTTATATTTTCTTTTTTGAGATTTAGAATCAACACATTTAAACAACGAAGGCCAATGTTGTATTTCAATATAAAGTAATGATGGAGCCCGGGTTTGACTCAACTCTCACCAGAAATCTTTAAGCTTGCTCTCTAAATGAGACGATTCTATATTATAGGCACAGCAAATGCTAGCCTTTCAGCTTCGAACGAGACCAAGTCACTCTCCTACAATTTTTTCCGGCCTCCTCACTACTATAAAGTGCTAAAAATTGCAAATCACTAATTATACGACGTCAGAATTTTGAAGATATTGTTAATTTGATGATTTTTTTTTTATGAATAATAATTACTATTTAGATGAATACATCATACTTGACCTTTCACTTAGAATAATTCAACGGTAGATAGCAATGACAACAAAATTAGATAATTAAAATAAATTTCCTTGTCTCAAAAATCTGCTGTTACTCTTTTAGAGGCCTTCTCCTTGGGAATATAGCTTTTTGTCTAGACTAAAACAAACGAAGACGACGAGTATACAAGAGTCTATACAAAAGAAAATACATTTTTTATATATTCATTAATCAATATATTATAACGTTGCATTGAAGTATATTGTTGCTATTTATGGCTTATGATATGAATGAGTACAAGAAAAAGAAAAGACGAGAGACTAGGCAGTTAATATCAAGGTTACATATTGAATGTATTATTTATGGTGATCACAAATAAATACCGTCGCAGATTTGTCTATTGTTCTAGGTTACACATTGAAAGGGATATGTTTTTCTTTTTGTACTAACTGCATATCAAGCTAAAGAGAGACAGTAAAAACATTTTTTCTTTAAAACTAAAAGCTATAAAATTAAACTTTTTTTTGTTTCTTTAATTTTTATTATCAAAACGTAATAAACCTATAATCATCGATTTTGTGAACTCAAAAAGTGAGTACACTCTAGAATCGGTCAGTGTGTCCGGCCGGCCGGCCGGCCGTTTACACGATAACTTTTGAAAGGAGAGTCCGATCGCGATGAAATTTTCTACACAGTTCAGTCTTAACAATATCTCGGTCGAGTTCAAAGATGAGAAGAATTGGCTGAACCGTTCCTGAGTTATTGCAAAAATACTCATTTTTCCCTATGGCTTCCTATGCGAAAATCGATCCATCCCCGCTTTCGTAAAAACATTTTCCTATCATAGTCAAACAAAACCCCAACTATTATATACCATTCGATAGAGAATTTTACGAGCTAGAAAATGGTATATAAAACATAAAGAAACAGGAAGGCTAGCTCACCTATTGCAAAGATAAATAAACGGAAATCGGTTCTGTTCTTGTCCACGCTCTAACTGATCCACAATTAGAGCACTATCTTCCGATAAGAGGTGATGCTTGAAGGTTTTCTGAGGTGGAGAACTCGAATCTGTACTCTACTTGTTTCGAAGCTCTATTAGCTGAGCACTGATCAATAGAAATCAAGTTATAGAAAAAACGATTTTTTGAGGGTAAATTAAGACGAAGAGTTCAAATCTGAGCTGTATTCGCCCCCAAATCATATTGGTTGAGTAGTAGTCAATAGAATTCAAGTGTTTATAGAAAAGGTTTGCCAAGCTAATTTGTATATCCACACATTCTAGGGTGACTGATTTGTCTCATTCACTTTTTGAAGTACACATAACTCTCGGACTTAAGTCAGAGGTTTCCACATTTATTTTCTTTATTATCTTGTTCAAAAATATTTTATTTTTCAGCGTTATGATAGATTTTGTTGAATAATGAAAAATTAAAGTGATTTGTTACTTTGCTTCGACATGAACAAAATATAATTAATAAATGAAATCGTTCTATAATGAAATTTCTTTTTCATAGAATGAACAATATCACATTTTCAGCGCAATTCGCTTTATTCTATCAAAATCTATGAGAAGAGTGAGCACAAAAGAACAGGAGAAGTAAATAACAGGAGCATAGACAAACATGTGTAGAAAAAAAAATGAGCACAGAAACAGAAACATGAGAAAAAATGACGATGATACTTTAGTCTTGTTTTGACATTTCCATGTATATCTTCATGAAAATTTGAGTAAATTCCCAATCTTTCTCTCCTGTAAATGATGAAGCCATTTTTGCTGCAATAAAAATAAAAATAAAAACTAAATAGACGTTAAGTATGAAGCTAACTTACAAAATTCAATACAAAATAACTGAATAAATTCTATTATATCTTCTTTTTTTTTTCGTTTTTATTTGATCATTGAACGCACGAAATGCTGTTAAACGATTAAAACAGAGATTCGCAAGAATATGCACAGCTTGTTGTTGTTGAATTTTATCTGCTTGACGATGATGGCTTAATAATAAACTGATTATTGCATCATCATTTATTACACCATTTTCCATGAGACTAATGATTAATGATGTAGTTTTAGAAGGACGATGATCACCATCATCGGATTCACTCAAGGAAAGGTTCTTCAATAATGAATGAGCAACTTGTGCCATTATACAATAAGCCTGTTTATATAAAATAAAGATTAGATGATTGTTTTGTATTGTTCAACACGCAAGAAAGTCATACGTATGTATATATATATATATATGTCTACGGACTATTTTACGTCTTTCCTCTCTTTCAAACAAAGCATCAATGAAAAATAAGAAAAAAAATTATTTCGCACGGCTTATACAGCAATCGGTCAAATAAATGAATGTGACTGAATTGTCATACGACCGTCAGCTTTCATTTTTCTCTTGCACAAAATAGAATAAACAACTTTTTATGCAAAATAAATGGAATGAAAAGCGTCTTTCTGATTAAAAACCTCAGTTAATACTAAAAACTAAATTTACAATTTATCCACTGGAGCCCTGTCTTTCAATACAAAACATTGAAAGAAACAATTTTTTTGTTTGAATATAGAAGAAAATTAATTTGTTTCTTGCCTTTAGAAAAACTATTCTTTTTGAGACTTTTGAAGTTTCTAAACAGAGTCCGATTTCTTTTTATCTTTTAACCTCAGATAGAAGTTATTGATTATGATAACAGATATCAGTAACTAATATATAGATGCTAAATTCAAGGTAGACTAATTTTTTTTATGCGGTGGGGATTGTGGTTTGCAATAGAAAAATCTTATTCTCCTATTCGCGGAGACATAAATTTTTGTTTTACTTAATCAAAAGAAAATAGGTCATTCTCAAAATTCATCTGTCTCTAGGATGCAAACAAATACTATTAATAAATAGACGTACGTTTTTATAATGTTCAGCTTCGATTTTCAATGTTGTAATGGTTTCTTGCAATTCTTGTATACCATCAACTTGTTGTGAGAGTTTGTTATTGGTATTATTTGCTACAAGATGAATACATTTGATAAGATACAAAGTATAACTATCTCTTACTTAAAAGTTGACGAGCTTCAGCTACTTCCCATGTTGCGAATACCGGATCATTTTTTGCGGTAAACCGCGGTATTTATCCTTCCTGCGGTAAATTACACTGATATGGGAGCCGGTAACCGGACCGGTAAAACCGCGGTTAACCGCCGATTTTCATGCGGTTTTTATGACATGGGTTGTTTAACTAATTTTGCTTGTAAAACATCTGACAATTTGAATTGTTTACAGCTGTGATGAATTCTTCCAAATGTACACAATATGGATGCTCGTTGAACTATTTGTGTAGTAGTATTTTCGATTGTAAACGTATTATCATCGAAATATTGAATTTCAATATTTTTATTTTCATCTTCAACATTTATAATTTTAGCAAGCCAATATGAACCTAAAGCATAAAAAATACACTGTTGTAGCGGGAATTATAGCTGATTAAGGATCAATTTAAATACCGTTTTCATTAAGAACTGCTATTACTGAACTTTTTTCAATTGTTAAATCTTCTTGTTCTGTCATAATATCAATATAAATATCTAGAACATTAACATGTAGTAAGAGGACGAGAACTAATTGTTAGCACTGGTTATACAGTTTATTAGCACAATAATGAAAAAGTGTGTGTATTTATATGTAGATAGGAGCATGTCATATGTTGAACAATAGTACAAAGAATGATGATCATGCCAGACGTGTTGAATAATAGTACAAAGAATGATAGTCACGCCAGACGTTGAGCAATAGTATAAAGAACGATGATCACGCCATATGTATAAAAGAAGACTATTGGAAGATAATATGATCATCAAGGGTTACCTCGATAACACTAATGACTCCTGGTTTTGATAACAGATTTAGAAAAAACGGATACACTTTGAATATAGATAGATAGTTGAGATAAGCTTCACATANCAGACAATCCGTCACATTTTTAGTATTTTGATGTTGATTTTATTTGTGGGATTACTATTTTCCAATTACATGAAATTACATAAAACTGAATTTTACAAGGAGGAATTATCCGCACTGATATTCGTCGTTTGGGTTTCTATTGCGTCTACAAGAAGGTCTCGGTAAGATTAACAAAAGTTTCAAAGAGTTCGCCTCGATATACCTTTACAACAGAGTTGGGATTGTTTTACTGAGTTTTCGATACGCGTTTAGATACATACCGAAAATTTTAAAAAAATGATTTCGACATGAAATTTTGCTTACATATATGTCGAATGACTCATAGATTCTTTTCTGCTGGAACTTTCAGGATATTCTACTGATCATTAGAAATATTTATTGGCAAAATTGATGTTGAAATTCCGTGTTTGTATTTTTGACATGCATCTAAAGCTCAGCTGAAAATTCCGTGAAACAATCATAACTCGATTCCGAAGATTCATGAAAACGAACTCTTTTAGACTTTTTCTAGTCTTACCAAGGCACAATATAAGTTTTTTATGAGAATCAGTTACTAACATCTTGCAAAATAGTAGATTTGTGTTGAACAAGACACCATACTACAGAACTATTGTTAACATATCAATGGTTAAGACATCATGATGTTCACTTTTATTCTTATATATATTTTTCTCGAAGGAAAACGATAATTATTTAACCATATGTATTAAATTTTCTTCAAGAATATTAGTAACTTTTTGCTCTTCAATAATTGAATAAATGCAAATATATTTTTCCTTTGATCACAGGTTAACTACGATGCAAAAGATCATTTGAAAGGTATCGATAAAATATTTTCTGCAGAATATGAGACACACTTTAGAACAAAATGTACAGCATAAATATTAATTATTATCAAAGTTAAAGTATTTTCTTGACAGAATGGTGACCGAGATAACAATGATTCAACTTTTTTTTTTCATAAAAAGCAATGACGCCTATACTTCTTGCTAATGATTTTTTCATATAATTCTGGATGATTTCATTCAAATAGAAATCTTTGTCTTTTTTAATATGAGCAAAGAAAGTCAGTACTTTCTAAAAAAGAGTCATTTCCATAAAAAAATTCGATTGTTCATCGTCAAGCATATCCTGTTAAAATTTCGTCGTTTGTAAAGCAAAGGGCAAAAGTCAAACAAGAACAAGTTGAGATGGACTGATAGAGTTTTTTTTTCGTATACTGATTTCAAATATCGTGGCCCTTTAACAAGAAAAATCTGAAGACAATACCTTTGCTTTTGATATTTTTTATAGAAATGATTCTTTTTTAAAAAGTACTGATTTGGTTTCTTCATATTGAAAAAGTTCAAGGATTTTGTTTCAGTGACATTATTTACTCAGTCTTCAATAAAAAAAAATAGAGTTCAATGAAAAAATTACTGAGTGAATTGAAGGATACAACTTAGAGAGAAGCTTCACTTCTTTTAAAGAGAGAGGAAACCTTCTAATCTTCTTCTTTTGACCTTCTTCCAGAAGTCGTATTAATATTTACTTAGTATGAGGTAAAAGTGAATACATTTCTATTGCATGAAAGCAAGGATCTCTGTTATTAAAACTTGAAAATAAAAATTCTGAGAATATCTAAACGCTAAAATTCAATTTTAAAGTCATAATAAATTTAGTCATTCCAATCCATTCGAATGATTGCGAATGAGTTTTTTTTCTCGTCTGACAAAGATTTCTTATTATTCATTTTATGCATATAGATAATGTTAAAAAAAAGTTAACGTCATAAATTTTTAATACCACTTTCGTAGGATTCATCTATTTCTCTTGATTCGAGTATGGCTAGATAGACCAAAAAGAATATTACATATTGATGTATTTTGATTTATTTCTCACTTACCTTTTAAAGAAAAATAAATGATATAAGTACTACAGTCGAAGGATACGAAAAAACACTTACATGTTTTTCAGAGACTGTTACTCATTTTTTATCTATCTATTTATTTCATTCAGAATTGTTCAAAATAAGTTAAATGAGTTTTCTCTCAATATGAATATTAGCTTTAATAATATTTTCTAAATGTTAAATGGAATTGAAAGATACTCAACTTTTTATTGAATTCAATTTTTTTCTGTTTATATCCGTACTCTGACAGTAGATATGTAAATTTCGAGTTTTCATATTATAAAAGTTATTCAGTACTGCTTTCTGATTTTTACGATCGCTAGGACAAGTTCATCGTAAGTCCTGTAAAAACTTACAATTGTAGAAATTCTATCCGTCATATTTCTTCTGATGGTGAGTGAAAATGATATCGAAGTATACTCACACATGATATCATTGCTGAGTCATTCAATCATGCTGAGACTAACCGAAATGAATGGATTTTATAAAAGCATACTGAAAAACGTGAGACCAAGCTTGTATATTATCGATAAATTCAGCAAAGATATAAATTAAAACCTTATATTAATTATATCTTTCATTACAGAATATCCGATAAAATTTCTTCAAGGATAGACATTAATCATAGACTGTCAATAAATAATATCTCAAAAAAGAACTAATTTTACTTAATATTTTTTTCTAAACATCATTTTTGTTTTGAATAAGACAGAATATCACATCAGGTTACATATCAACATCTTATGTACATTGACAAGAGTTTTATGTGTATGTGAAATGTTTGATCATAAATAAAGTTCGAAACATTACTGATAGAATCATTCTAAAACACACATAAAATTAAATTGAAATATTTTCTTTAGAAAAATGATTTACATTAATTACAATATAAAAGAAGAAAATTGATTTATTTAATTCATGTTTCAATATTATTGGAGGTTAATTTATTTAATAATCAATTAGATATAATGAATATTTAATCAATGAATAAACATTTTGTTATTAAATGAAATAAGTAGAAGTTAAATATTATTTTAAAAACATATTTACATTTTTGATACTCGTTCAAGTAAAGCCCAAGTTGTAAATAAAGGCTTTGATGGATTTACATCTAATACGAAAAAAATATTATTAATTAGATCTAGAACAACTCTAGATCATGAGCTCAGATCCAATGACCTATTTCATTCATTCAATTCCAAATACTCAGTTGTCCGAATAGTTTTATTGTATTATTGATAAAGTAAGAACAGAAGTTTATTAATCGGAAAGTACGGTCCTCAACAACAGATCAACGGTTTATTAAACCCGAAAGTACTAATCTCAGAAACAGAACAAAGAATTTTTAAACACGAAAGTAGCTTGTGCAAAAAATAATCAAAATTTTATCGCGCAACTGCGTTCCTAGAATGTGAACTGAATTTGCTTACCCCTATTATTCATACTGTTATTAGTTTGGTTTGATGGTAAGATAGTAGTAAAATTAAGATTTGTATTATGTAGCCATGTTGTCCAACCGAGTTTTCTTTTGTTTGATGTTTGAGTATGATCAGAATTTGAGCTTTTAAATTTTTTTCTTATATTATTAATATCAATTGAATTAGTATTTTGATTATATTCATTTAATGATATTGAGTTTGTTGTTGATGCATTTTTATTTTTTGATTTTTTCTAATAGAACCGAAGAAAAACGATATAAATAGTTAGTGTCATATATTTTTAGTATACTTGAGTGTTTTTGTTTTTTAGATTTGAACTTTTTGTCTAATTATTCATATGAAAATAAATCATTGAGTTTAAATAAAAAATAAACATAGAAATACTTTTTTTTGTTCATTTGCGGAAATTCTCTTCGAGGAATTAATATTTGTTTTAGCTCTAGGAAAACTAATGAATTATTAATTTCGATTAATATTCAATGATAAACTTACATTGATGATGATTGACCATTTTTGCTAGTTTTTGAAGCTAAAATTAATATATATTAATTTCTATCTGTGGATATCTATTTACCTATTGTATTTCGAGTACGTGATTGAGATCTTAAAACGAAAAAAGAAGTTTCTTTTGTCATATTTTATCAAAAACAAATGATATACTACTTTGAAGATTGTATTCTTCTTGAACTTTCTTTTGTCTAAATAAAACCGAACTTTATAGGAAAGAAATATTATTATTTTACACTTTAGTATTTTGTTGATCTGTTGATTTATCTTTTGTAAATGTTTTCGGAGATAATGATGGTGTTTTAATATGCATTATTTGTGATTGATTTCTTTTTAATATTTTATTTATGCTTTTAAATTTGGTATTAGCTTGATTGTTGATTGGAATATTTGTAGTTAAGGATTTTTGCTTTTTTGAACCACAATCACGAATACAGAAATCTTAGAAAAAACATTTATTGATAAAGAAAATATGACTCAAGATTTCTTTTCTACTTAATCGACGTTGACGTATAGCTTCTGCTTCTGCTTCACGTTCAGGTTCAGTTAGTTTATATAATGCACAGAAAATTAGTCGTATAGTTTTACTAGTATCCAGTATTATTGGAAGGGTTTGTACAGCTGTATAATAATTAAAAAATTTGTAAAACATACATTTATTCAATATATTTTTTATCAAGTATATTTATAAGAGAATATCTTCAACTGTAGGATTCTCTGTGATTTTATGTATAATCTGCTAGGAATAGATCACTATAAAAATTTAAAAAATCTAATATAATTTGCTTTTATAAATAGTTGAGATTTAGCTCATGTCAAATAAATACGGTCGTAAACGGCGTTTTTTTGACGCAGTATTACAATTGTAGTTCAATGTATGGTAAATGGTCGGATACTAAATTTTCAGACTGTTCGATGGTCGTTATCAACTGCGTACAGCACGACAAAATACAACCATAATATTGCACATATCCAACATCCCTTTATAGTTATTTACGATATGAAACAACAGTTTCTGTACCGTTTCAGACCGTCTCGACGGTTGTAACCATTGTTCTGAAAACACGTTTAGTACGTATAGGATTGCGACTGAATATTATCGCTTCGCAAACAGTTGATAACGCTCTGAAAATCAAGTATCCGGCTGTTTGCAATACAGCGAAACACAATCGTAATACTGCGCCTACCAAACGGCAAAAAAACATCTGAAACGACGACCGTGCTAGTTTGACCTAGATACCAAGGTCAACGAATACGGAGTCCATATATAAACAGATTTTGCCTTATTACATAGTCTCGTATTAAGATAGTATGTCACTATGCCAGTATACGGAGTGAAAGAGAGCCCGCATCTAGTTTTCGTCTATGAAGAAAGTCAACATATGTTTTTTTTCTCAGTAAATTGTCGTACTTCTCCGTATACAATAAGACCGTTTACAAATGTTCCTATTTGACCTGAATAAACCATGACCTAGTGCTTTAAATATATAAGAAAGCAGTTTATTACTGTTTTTTTCTACCTCTAGAAAATACATATGTAATAAATGCTGAAATTTTGTCTCTCCTATCCATAACACAGTACTAATCTAAGAGACATTTTCGTTCTAATATTTTTTCTCATTAACAAACATACGGTCTCGTTTTCTATAATGCTTTGAGACTTGATTTCTCTTATTTGATTATACTAGTGCAAATACCGAAAATGAATAAAGAATAAGAGAATGATTATGAGAAGATGCAATGTCTAATCTTTGAATAGTTCAAATATTTCTTGTCAATTTTTCTTAGTCTCATAGAGGTGTACACTAAACTAAAATACGAAATTAAATAGCATTGAACAATGGAAAATATTCTATTTTCAATAGACCATTTTCTTAAAATACCTGTTTTTGCATTTTGAAAAAAATCTTTATCTACAATATCACCAAAAAGTATTTCAAAATTTGATTGTAATGCAATAAATGCTTTTGTTATATTTCTATATGGATCATATATATCTGATTGTTTATCATTCTGTTTTATTTTGTAGTTTTTTAATTGTTCACGTTGTTCTACACTTAAATGTTGTTGTTTTGAAAGTATTTTAATTATAACTTTGGTTTTAAATATAAATCGGCAAATTTTAATTATAATACCTTCATCTAATTCAATGCACATTTTAGGATATATACGTGAATCGGAACGTAAATGTCGATAAAGATTTCTTGTACTTAAACAAAATCGACGTATATGTTCATTTATTCTTTGTAAATCATCACCAATATGTGTTGATATTTGACATATAGGTGAAATACTTTCTCGTTGAGTAATTTCATTACGTGTTTGAAATAAAAAACGAAGACGATCACTTTGCATACGTCGTATTGTAAATTCAATTAAATCATTAGAAATATTAGCTGCTTTATGAGACCATATTTGAAAAAATTTTTCACATGTTTCCTTTGTAGCATCAATTGAACAATGACCATGCTTACTTCGAATTTGTAAATCATTTATTGTTAGTGGCATAATTTTTTTATTTCTAAAGTCATTGAAATCGTTCATGTTGAGAGCGCGAATTTTATATTTTTTATTAATTATATTTAAAATTTAACAAAAACGAAATATGTGAATGTTCATACATTTGAAGGTTTTTGTTCAAATAATTAATATTGTTTTTTATTTTTTATTATTATTTAATTTAATAATAATTCAAAACCTATAGAATTTCATAGCAAAGAAACAACATTTTTGTGTTGGTCGTCGGATCATATGATTGGGATTGAAATTTCGTGAATATCGATAAACATGACATTCTTTTAACATTGTAAAACAAATTTTTGGCCAAAGAACACTTCGAAGTTTAACATGTTTTTGTTTATATTGTTGAGCACTTTGTATTTTAACTCATTCATTTTCGGTATTAACTAACGCATTTTCTTGATGACGAATACGATAACTGTTAATTCTATGAATTATAATAAATAAAAATACGAGATAAAAACAAAGTGTGAATTGATAATAAACGATACCATAATCATATGTAAAGGATAATGATAGAAAATGACCTGAAGCAATGAATATTGCTTTTTTTTCTGTTTTCGTCATCAGCTTGTCGATTAGTACGATTCAATTTCATTCCTATAACTTCATGGCATTTATAATTCTAAAAATAACTTGAAAACTTCAATTATATACATATTTCTATTCTTTGAAAATAATAAATATATATTAGCTGATAGAATGAATATTTTTGAAAATTTAATCTATGTTAATTCTAAAAAAAATTTTTAAAAATCCTGAAGAAACATTTTTTCCATAAACAAGTAAAATTGACTTTGATGAAGGCAGACAGAATCTCTTGATGTTAGTTAATCGTATCTGAAGTCTTAAAATCACTTCTCTGAATACATATTTAATTTTTATCTAGTTTGGAATAAATATCAACAAAAGTGCAGGATTACATTTGAAATAAAAAAATTAAGCTTTTTACTTCAAAAACAAAGAAAAAAAAATACACGAATTACTGCACAATGCGCACTGAGAATTTTTAAAAAAGACTTGTTTTTCTTTAATAACCGGTATGTAATTAGACAAAAACAAAAAAGAAAACAAAACATAGATAAACATAGAAATTTAAATATATATAGAATATGAACAAGAAAAGAAAAAGAGACAATGATTATTTCTTTGTTCGTCTTCTTTTACGATATTTTCCAAATAAAATTTTTCCAAATGCTTGTCGAAAGTCAGGTGAAAATATTGTATAAATCACAGGATTTAAAAGGCTATTTAAATATCCAAGCCATGTTAAAACACTAATAATTTTTTCATTTATTGTTAAATGAAATAAACCACATATTGTTTCTTCAATAAAAAATGGTAACCAACATAATATAAAACAGCCCATAACAACACCAAGAACTTTAGTTGCTTTACGTTCACGTTTAATATCAATTTTCTTACGTGATACTGTACTTGGAGATTTTGCTACGATTGTTATATTATTATTGTTATTATTGTTATTATTATTATTATTATTATTATTATTATTATTATTATTATTATTATTATTATGAGAATTAGTATTATTTGTATTAGTTAAACAAATTTTTGATATTGGTTTTATTGTTGATATATCAATAGTATGTGTTGAATCTGATGGATAAGAATTTGATATTACTAATGAATGATTTATTCTATTGGCTGCTAATGGTGAATCTTTATGACATGTTGATGTTGTTAAACGACGTGTTGATGATGAAGGTGAAGGTGTTGAATTAATTCTATGTAATTCATCATATTCTTGTTTTAAACGATTTGTTGTAGATAATTGAATAATAGGTGTTGTTGCTCTTCCTGTTGTGGTTATAATACTATGATGTTTTTTTCTCAAATAAGAAGAAGCAGAAGAAGTCTTTTTTAGTTTTTTTAATTGATAATCATTATTAGATTGATTTGTTGATGATGTATCTGGTTCAATATCAAATGGATGATGATTAGATAAATGAGGATTTTTTTTTAAATTTCTTTTCGATTGTAATGGAGAAAATGATTGATATTTAGTTTTATCTGTCAATGATATTTCATGATTTGATATTGGAATTTCAGAAGATAATAAAACATCATGTGGATTATGAGTTAATGTTGATGTTACCCCTGCTCCTATACTAGATGGTGGTGGTAATAAACGTTCGGAATTAAATGCTTTACGACGTATACGAAATTTAGCTGCTTGAAATATTTTCCAATAAATAATACACATACCAATAAGAGGAATATAAAAAGCTCCAATTGTGGATATAATAGTATATGGTACATTGCCAATTAAATGACATTGACCCGGTGGACGACCACGTTTGTCGCGAAATATAGGAAATAGATGAGCACTTGATATAATAATGGATGTTGCCCATATAATACATATAAGAATAAGAATTCGAGCAGGTGTACGTTTTGTTGCATAGTCCACTGAATTTTGTTTTATAAAGAAAAAATAAATAAATAAAGTAATTTTTTCTATTCTAGATAATATTAAAAATATTGACAAGATAAAATTCAAAGAAAGATATTGAATAAATACTCATTCTAGCATAACCGATATTATTTCTTATCAATATTATTTTTCTATTCGAAATCCATGTTTTGTCTTTTTGAAAAATAAAGTTTTATAATTAATAAAAATTATTACAACAAACTATTTAGTCGACGACAAAAGTTTCGCACGCTGACTATATCATTTATTTTACGCTTTATAACGACATTAAAAAAAGATAATATTATTATCACATATACTGTTCTTAGATACTTCGTTGCTCATATTCAGCTTTTTTATTTCTTTAAGTTTTTTGTTTTAAATTGATTAAATATTAGAAACCATTAAAAAATTCGAAATTTGACACATGAGAAATGTTTATTTGCGGTGAAAGAAGCACAAAAGCTAAACAAGACATTCAATACAATAGCACCTCAACTTGATTGTGATCGCCGAACCGTTTATCGTGCTATCGCTCGCTTAAATGCAACAGGATTATTAACTGAACAGGAAAGATTAGGTCGACCACCTTTCCTTACTGGAGGACAACAACAGCGGTCACTGGACAAGTACATCTCAAAAAATCCAACTGCAACTTCTAATCAACTTTCGAACTATATCTTTAGCAAGTTTGGCATTCGAGTACAAACCAAAGTCAAATGAACAAAAACTGAAGTCGGAAAACTTCATTTATTTGCAGTGGAGCATCAAAGTAGTGACCTCAAAATATGAATTTTCATTGATGAGACACAGGTCAATTGCGTAATACAGGTAAAATCGATTGGGTGAAACGTGGGGAACCAACGCCTACACATAAAATATCTTCTCTTCGTGCTTATGTCAATTTATGGGGTGTAGTTTGGTGGAATGGCAAAACGTTCGCAAGGCTGCTCTCATCGACTAATTTTTTAATGGTTTCTAGTATTTAATCAATTTAAAACAGAAAACTTAAAGAAATAGAAAAGCTGAATATGAGTAACGAAGCATCGAAGAACAGTGTATGTGATAATAATATAATCTTTTTTTAATGTCCTTATAAAGCGTAAAATAAACGATATAGTCAGCGGGCGAAACTTTTGTCGTCGACTAATTTGTACATAAACTCTACTGTCGATCTCCTGTAATTAAATTGTTGTACTTCTATTAATTTTAAGTTGGAATTTAAAAAAAGTAAAGTTGTCAGGAAGAACTCCAGTATTAAATCATCGAATACTGATACTAGTTTGAATTACTGCTTGAAATTGACAGACTATGTTTGCGAACGATTACTTTCGATAATCTTTTATTTGTTGACAATTTTCTCCGACGTTTTAGATTTTATGCATTTTTTTATAAATATCTTTTCATTTATTTTTAAAAATTTGTTCTAATCGCATC